AATTATTATTTTATACATGAATGTTTCTGTTCAATTATTATTTTATAGATGAATGTTTCTGTTCAATTATTATTTTATACATGAATGTTTCTGTTAAATTATTATTTTATAGATGAATGTTTCTGTTAAATTATTGTTTTTATTTATGAATGTTTCTGTTCAGACCCTGAGACGACTTCTGTTGTGACTTGGAGCTTTAGAAATAAACTGAATTGCATTGAATTGTATAAATAACGGTTGAATGAAAAAATAAACAGCTGAAGATCGGCTTGTAGCTGCAGCCTGTTCCTGGAATCTTCTTAAAAGGGTCAAGTCAGTGCGACAGAACAATGTGGCGGTGGTTTTCCTTGAAACCAGATATTAGCAGAGTCTGGGCCGATGTCTGACCCCCCGCTGCGGTTAAAGTTTTCATTCAACCTTTATTTATACAGGTCAGTCATCATTCATCAAAGTGCATCATTTATGTGTTTAATCTGGAAGCGGTTCACTTAAAATGTATTTATAGTTTACAGTAGTCCCTCGATTATCGTGGGGATTACGTTACCAACACTTACGCAATAGGTGAAAAACTGAAAAGTAGGAACGCTATATTTATTTTAGTATTTATATATATTTGAAGGCTTTATAAACCCTTCCCACACTCTTGCAATGTTCTAAACTCTTAAACCTACGTCATTTTAACAACATACGTATATGTACTGTACAGTACTGCAAAATTTTACTCACCAGCTCTGCAGAACAGCAGCTCGGTTCTGGTCGGTCGGGCTCTGTTCCGGTTCTGCAGCCCTACCCTGCAGCGACGAAGCCCACCGCCTGGTCCAGGTTGATAATTGAGCTTCAGGATTATTTGAGACTTTCCTGCCAGTTCTGTGAGCTTCATAGATCGATTGTTACTTCTGACTTTGCGTTCCCAAACTTTCCCTCCATTTCAGCAGAAAGCAGTGGCTGAAAGCACTGTTGGCTTCTGGGTAGTGTAGTTGTTTTTTTGTCTGGCGTTACAGAGTAGGCGTGTCATCTGTTACGGAAGCCGATCCATAGTGTCAGCTCATTTGCTCATGCGCTAAAAGGAATACTTCCGGGTCGCATGGATCGCCGCTAATTTACTTCGATAAGTACGATCTTCATGTTGCTAATTCACACCTCTTGTATTTCCGTTAAAATCATTGACATGTTTAAGTCTTTTGTTAAAATGACGTGACGCATGTTTTGGGTAAATAGAACATTTTTAGTGTGATGTAGCGCAGCTTCACCACGGAAGTAATTCATTCTGTATCTTGCAGAGTTTTTTCATTCAGCCCGTGCATATAATTTTAACCAATGATGTAAATAAATATGTCAGTGATTTTAACGGAAATACAAGTGGCGTAAATTAGCAACATGAAAATCTTTTGAGTAAATTACGACAATTCTTATTCATAAACAGAATTATAACATTGTCTAGGAAAATTAGTGGTAATCGATTTATCGAAAGAGATATTTGAATTAATATTAATAAACATGGTATGTTTCATAAATATATTTTATTAATATGTGTTGTATTAAATCAGCTTACTGGATATTTCCAGTACGTTTTCCTTTTATTTCATATTCAACGACGACCCGGAAGTATTACTTTTAGCGCATGCGCAAATGAGCTGACGCTACAGACCGTGATTCTGTAACAGACAAGGCTTATTGAAAGAAAACTACAAATGGCGGCGCCTGTCCGAAGTATTATTTTTTTTGTTAACTTTTTTCCCGTGTCGTCCCGATCACGTGAGTAAATTACAGTTGACCATCGTTGAAAACTGCGAAAGAGCAAGTCTGTGAAAGTCGAACCGCCACGTAGCGAGAGACTACTGCAGTCATGAAAACATATGCAGTTATTTTAGAAGTCTTTGTTTTATGAAAAGTCTCAGGATTCTGTGGGAACGTAGGCGGAGCATGAAAAACGTCTTTGATGTTCCGTAAAACGACTTTAACGGCTCTGAAGTTTAAAGTCAACTTTGGTGTCTTTAAGGTGGACCAAGACATGAGGCTGTTTTTTTTTTACGTCGACCACCAAACATTTAGTTTTACTTTTCCCATCTCAGAACAGGACAGATGTCTCCCTGAAGGTCTTAGGAAAGGTCCGGTCCCAGAACCCACTGGGCCGTGATCTCCAGCAGCTGAAACTCCAAAACCATCTTCAGACGATTCAAGTCAAGTTTATTTATTTTTTCTTTCCTCAAATTAATCAGCTTCTCCTTTTTCTGTCCAGAAGTCTCACAGCATCATGTCTGCAAGGAGGAGGAGGTTCTCACTGCCCGGCAGCTCTGGAACCAAGAGGGGGACTCCACTTTGGATCAGGATGAACCACAGCCTCCAGAGGTGGAACCAGGACCTTCACAGATGAAAGAGGAACAGGAGGAACTCTGTAGCAGCCAAGATGAAGATCAGCTGGTACTGAAGCAGGAGGCTGAGATCATCATGGTGACTCCTACTTATGAAGGAGACCACAGTGGACCACGGCCAAACTGGAACCAGCTTCTCCCTCAGAACTTCCCCAAGGCTGAGAACCAGGATCAGGTAGGAATCTGGACTGAAGACCCTGGATTCAGCAGAGACGATGAGCTGAAACTTCAGAGAAGTTCAGAAACCAAAGATTCCAGAGGCGATGAGGACAGTCCAAAACTAAAGAGACACGAAAAACCTCCCATGGGTGAGAAACCTGTCTCCTGTCAGATCTGTGGAAAGACCTTTAGTAAAAAATATGCTCTTAGGTACCACATGAGAAGTCACACAGGTGACGGTGTGTGTTCCTGTAAATTTTGTGGTAAAATTTTCACACTGAGAGGTCAGCTGAACGTGCACGTGAGAGTTCACACGGGGGAGAAACCGTTCTCTTGTCAGACGTGTGGAAAGAGTTTCAGTCAGAGCAGCTCTTTGACTCTTCACAGAAGGACCCACACCGGTGAGAAGCCCTATTCTTGTCAGATCTGTGGAAAGTCTTTCTCCTGCAAAAGCAACCTAACGGAGCACGTGAGGACTCACACAGGCGAGAAGCCGTATCCTTGTGACTTTTGTGGAAAACGGTTTTCCCAGAGTTCTCACTTGGTTCACCACAGGAAAATTCACACTGGTGAGAAGCCCTTTTCATGTCAAATCTGTGGAAAAAGTTTTAACCAAAAAGGTAATTTAGTCAAACACATGGTGGCCCACACAGGCGAGGAGGCGTAAGCTAACAGACACCAGGGTTTGTTAAAACAGAGTCATCGCCAGTAAAAATATAAATATCCGTTTGTTTAAATATCAGAGCTGTCCTCGTGTGACGAAGTCAGCCAGATCTGATGTTGAAATCAGGTGTGAACAGGCCCTGAGACCAACCTCGGCTGTTTTTTTTTATTTTTATTGGAGCGTCTCTCTTTTTAGCAATCGACCCGTTGTTTGGATCAACACAACTCTTTGATGAAACGCTGATGTCTGAGGATTCTGCAGCCAAAGCCTTTCTACTTTGGCTCCACTCGACCCGACTCAAGTCCACTCGGTGCCGGTTCAGAGCCTCCGTTGGGTGGTCCCAAACAGCTCAGGTCTTAGGACCCGATCAGCCGAGGTTCGAGGTTCGAGGTTAAGTGAGCCAAGTGGAGCTGAAGAGTAGACGTCGGCAGACTGCTGGACGTTGATTGACGGACAGAGAGACGTCAGTCACGATGACGTCTCCTGCACCAGAACCCATCCATCTATTATCTTTACCTGCTGCTTCTTTATTGGGTCGTGGGAGGGGGGGGAGTCACTGGTGCCCATATCCAGTAGTCACTGTGCGAGAGGTGGGGGACACCTGGACAGGTCTCCAGTCCATCACAGGGACACACGGAGACAAACAACCATTCACTCTCTCTCTCACCTAGAGACAGTTCAGAGTCACCAGTCAGTCTAATATGAATGTTTTTGATCAGTGGGAGGAAACTGGAGAAAACCCACGGAGCACGGAGAGAACATGCAGACTCCACCCAGAGAGGCTCCCTGGCTGGGATTTGAACTGGCGACCTTCTCGCTGGGAGGCGTCAGCTCTACTAACTGTGCCACCTGCACCGGAACCTGCCATTTGTAAACCATCTGCAGCATTTGTTATTTACTGAAAATATATGTACAATGAATATATATACGTTTATTAAAATGTCAGCACCAAAACCAACACTGTGGTGCAGTGAGGAGGTGCAGTGAGGAGGTGCAGACGTTTCTAACGACCAAATGGACTGGTTTTATGTCTCCGACTGGCCGAGGGACGTTGGCCTCGACTCGGCCTGTTTATAAACTGTGGCAGAGGAAGGTGAGCGTCTGACACTTTATTTCTCGGCGGCGGCGGCGTGTCGGCCTCGGTTACAAGTTTGAGGCAGCGGCGCCGTGACCAACGACCCACATCGAGGCGGCGCACAAGTGACTTTAAAGACCACCGAGACGTGTGGACCTGAGTCGGGGCAAGGCCTGGTGAGACTGCACAGCAGAAAAACAGCACGACATGTTCTGAACTTCTCACAACACCGCTTAAAAACAGCCTGTCTCTGTAAGACTGTTGCATTGTGGGTAAAGTTATTTTTCTCCTGAACTACCAGGTGTTTAGATTATTTAAATGTGTGTTTTGTTCATGTCGAGTGTCTCAAAAATAAAAATACAGATCCTGTTGATCCAAACTCGGCGTGTCTCTTTAATCCTCGTCTTCACTGCAGTCAGTAACGCGGTGCGATGACGGTCTGTGGACAATATGGCCGCCTGAACGCCACCCTGAAATTCCATCATATCTGAATGTGTGGTTTCCAGTGAATCACTGGTGCAGCCGTTAAAGGGTTTTGACTCATCGTTAGAGTCCCAGACTCGCTTTCGTTAGTATCTTTTAAGTTTATTTATCTCCAACATTATTAAGCACGTACGTGCATGCGTGTGGTCAACAAACAATATGACTTCTGGGCTACACATGGGCCCTGAACACAACTCGGAATATAATACAATCATCATGAACCGCCCACAAACAACTGGTCTTTACAGGATGTGTTCCAGGTGACCATCAGCTACTGCCACACCAGGGCGTAACTTTAAACGTCCAAAAGAAGTTAGACATGTTTGTGTTTAAGGTTGCTTCGCTGTGGCAGCCATCTTGAACTGTGTTTATTCCTAAAGCTATTCATTTGTAGATGTTCATCCAATAGTTATTTTCTAAGAATTTCATTAAAATCGGTCCACTGATTCTGGAGATATTTTACTAACAGACACATAAACATGGCCCTTTTCCTTTTAGTAGCAGGTGTAATTAACCTTTTAATATGTATACAAATATATATACAGTAGTCCCTTGTTTATCTCATGGGATCCGTACCCTGAAGACCCGTGATAAGTGGAAAAACCGTGAAGTAGGAATAGTAGTAAAAGTAGTAGTTTATTTTATTTTATATCAAAGGTGTTTCCTTCCCTTCCCACACTCTTGTAATATTCTAAACAATGTTTCTAAACGCTCTAAAAGAGCACAGCATGTCATGATTTCAGCTCTCTGCCGCCTCTGCTCTCAGCCACCTGCAAGCGCTCTTGGCCACGCCCACTTCTCCACTACACAGAGAGCAGCTGATCAGCTGCAGCAGGAAGTTTATCCTGCAGTATGGGCTGTATAAATGTGCAGCAGGTGCTAAATAATTTAAAATAATTTATTTTAAATAAATATTCCATGCAGATCGTGCAGCTCATCGTGTGTCATGTCCACTCTTATTTTGAAAAACCGAGATAGAGCGAGTCTGCGGAAAACGAACGGAAAAGAAGTGAAGAAGTTTTGCTGGAGTTGCAGAAATAAATTTCTGTAGTTTTGCCTACCTGTCCAAACTTTAAATTCATAAACAGATTTAAACAAGTCTGTAAAGTTTGACATAAAGGTTTTATTTTGACGGTATTTCTATGTGAAATACTGTAGTTTGTTTTTATTTACTGATCAAGTTATTTTAATTTGAAAAGAAGAAAGTCAACTTGAGTTGTACGGTGGCACAGTTGGTAGAGCTGCTGCCTCTCAGTGAGCAGGTCGCCCCAGTTCAAGTCCCGGCCCGGGGTCTTTCTGGGAGAAGTCTAGGTGAGAGAGTGAATGGTTGTTTGTCTCTATCTGTCCCTGTGATGGACTGGAGACCTGTCCAGGGTGTCCCCCGTGACCCGAAAAGGAAAAAGTGGGTAAAGATGATGGATGGATGGATGGATGATGGATGGATGGATGGATGGATGATGGATGGATGGATGGATGGATGGATGGATGCTTCTCAGTTTTCATCTGAGCCTGACACTGTGACATCACCACACTTGCTATCAGCGTTAGCATGACTAACTTTTCTCAGTTAGTGGTCAGGGTCCAGCCGTATTAACGTCCTTCATGTGCACAACTTAGGGATAAACTAAACTAAACATTAACGCCATGTTTGAACTTTACTGCGTCACATCTGGTTCTGAAAAGTGTATGGTTAGTTTTTGTTGCGTTTGTTGAGATACATACTTTATTAATCCCAGGAGGGAAATTCGAGGGTTCAGACAAGTTTTTCAAGTTGTGTGTGGATCGGTCATTATAGATTAAATGAAGTTGAACATTTTATTATTCTATTACTTGTTGCATCTAGTAAATGTAGTGAATAATAATAATAATTCTCGAATGGTGCCCATATTGAGTTTGTTGATTCCTATAAATATTTGGGTATCTTGGTCGACCCACATCTCTCTTTTAAGCTCCATGTGGAAAATTTGGCAAGAAACTGAAAGTTAAACTGGGTTTCTTTTTCAGAAACAGATCATGTCTAACCAGTGTTGCCAGATCTTGCGATAGAAACAAGCAACCAGCTCTGACTGGCAACCCACCACACTGTGTAAAACAGAACGTTTTTAAGCAGTATAAACATTTTTTATGGCATTAGCAAATTTATGCTAAACACTTTGAATAACATACTTTAAGCTCTGATTTAAAAAATACATTTTGCATATGTAACAGCAAACTCATGGTAAACACAGTCAACAAAAAACTTTCTTTAAACTCTGTTTAAAAGCAAAGACACATGAGTCAACTCAAACAGGTCAAGTGTGAAACCATCTTCTTTCCTTGTCCTTCTTGTTTCCCCATCAGGTCTGTTCATCTGTATCACAGAAATCACATATGGGAAAATTAGCATAAAGCCTGGTACAGATGAAAAAGATGTAAAAATAGCTTTTACCTGAACGACAATCCATCATCGCTGTTTTCGTTTGCATCTGTGCTTCCAGATGTTCCTTCCACAGAGTACATGTTAAAGCGCTCGAGCATCTCCTTGGTTGGAATAAAATCTTTGCAGCACAAACTTTGCCTCCTCAGTCCATATTTTATGTGGAGTGTGCTGCTGAGTGTGTCCTGTCCCATTCTGTTCCTCAGTTGGGAGGACTTGGCAACACTGTGTCTAACTCTGAATGTTAGGAAACACCTTGTATCTGTGACTTTCCTTCCCTCCATTTATTACGGTGACATTATTTACATGAACGCTCCTACAAGAACCCTGCAGATGTTGGATGCTGCAGATGTTGGATGCTGTCTATCATGGTGCACTAAGATTCATAACTGGCTGTAACTACCGTACCCACCACTGCACCCAGTATCCACTGGTCACCATTAACTTCACACAGACTCTCCCACTGGTACATTTTCATCTTTAAATCACTTCCTGGTCTGCTGCCTTCATACATCTCCTCCTACATGTCTCTGTGTGAGTGCAGCTACAGCGTGCGCTCTCAGGACATTATTACCTGCAGTGTTCACTCAGTGAGGACTGAACTAGACTTCTCGCTCTCTCAGGTCAGCAGATCAGCTGCTGCTGGTCGTCCCAAGGTCCAACAGGAGACTGAGAGGTGACCGAGCGTTCTCAGTCGCTGCCCCTAAACTGTGGAACGAGCTGCCTCTGCATGTCAGACAAGCTGGCTCACTTCCTGTTTTTAAGTCTTCTCTGAAGACACATCTTTTCTCTTTGGCTTTTACTTCAGTTTGAAATGTTGGTTTTAATGACTCTAAGTTATTTGTTTTATTTTATTTGTTATCTTTATTTTATTTCACATTTTTAACGTGTGGGGTTTTTATGTTTTTGTATGTCCTAGTGTACAGCACTTTGGCCAACAGTGTTGTTTTAAAGTGCTCTATAAATAAAGTTGTATTGTATTGTATTGTATAAAAGGACCTTCTCCTACTCCGCTCCTGTTTCCTGGAATATCTTGTAAAAATATCTGAAGCTCTCGACCTTTGTCCTCTCTAAGTGACTTCAAACATCTGTTAAGTTCCTGGAAAAAAATCAACAGACATGTTCTTGATTTTAGTTTTCTACACCGCCTTACAATCTAGCTGTTTTTTTGTTTCTTTATGCCATTTTCTTTCACTTGTTCTTCTCAGTTTGTATGCTTCCTTTTTAAAGTCCCCCTTTAAGGTCTCTCTTGTAAATGAGTCTCCGAGACTAACCTGTATAAATAATGGTTGAATAACCAAGACAGATTAGCCAGACCCTCAGATTGTGACACCACCTACACCGCCCTACAACCTGTTTTTGTTACATTTTCTTTTAAATACAATTTTTTTTAACTTGTTTAAAAAAACTCATTTTGTATGCATCCTTTGATTGCCCACTGTTGTCATCACGATTTGTTAAAATCAGGTCTCTCTTGTAAATGAGTCCCCGAGGCTAACCCGGACCCTCAGAGTGTGACACCACCGGAAGTGCAGAAGGCGCTAGCAGCGTTAGCATAGTTAGCTCTGTGTGTGTGTGAGAGGTGAATGTGTTGAGTGTGTGCAG